ATAGAATCACAGAATGGTTGGGGTTGGAAGGCACCTTAAAGCTCATCTCATCCCACCCCCTGCCCTGGGCAGGGACACCTTCCACTAGCCCAGGTTGCTCCAAGCCCCGTCCAACCTGGCCTTGGACACTTCCAGGGATTCAGGGGTAGCCACAGCTTCTCTGGGCAACCTGTGCCAGGGCCTCCCCACCCTCACAGCCAGGAATTCCTTCCCAATAGCTAATCTAAATCTACCCTCCTTCAGCTTAAAGCCATTTCCCCTTATCCTGTAACTCCATGCCCTGGTAAATGATTTCTCTCCACCATCCTTGTAGGCTCCCTTTTGGGTACTGGATTGGTACCCAGCCCTTGGCTCAAACTGAATCTGTCAAGAATGTCAGAGGATTAAAGGAAGAACTCAGAGACTTTATTAAAAACAGAAGCATGGAAAGAGTTTGTTGAACTGGGTTTTCTCTACAAAAATGCAGTGTTTCATATTGTAAAGCATTCCTTGGAACTCTCACTGGCTTGCCAATAAAACACAAGCTGTGATTTACGTGTCTTTTTCAGCAGCTGCAGTGCAAAGAGAAGCTTCTTTGAAAAGGGGAAAAAAATGGGGCTCAAACTTGCTCAGGTCTTGCCTAAGTCAGCCATAGCTTTTTGTGCCATCTGCCTATTTTTTTTACACTGTTTGTGTTTTGGTTTTTTTTATAATTCCAGGATGAAAAAAAAAAACAACAAAACAAACAACCCAGCCCAAAGTGATTTGGATAAAAAGGTACACTCCCATTTTGATATGCAATGATCAACGTTCACAGTTACCCCACTGAACTGAACTCCCACCTCACCATCCTGCTCCCTGTCTCCCTGGACCATGTGTGTGCAGGCAGCCCCAGCCTGTGCACAAGCATCCCTTACCACTGTCCATGGTAGTTTTCCCAGTCCAGCTCCCAGCTCTCCCACCCTCTGTATTCATACGTATTTTTGCCTGGAACAGATGTCTTTAGTTTTCCAGACAATTCCAAAATTGCAGTGGTCTGGAAACTCCACAAACGAGGCACCTTTTTGCTGCGATATTCCTGGAAAAATAAGTAAACTTCCCTTGTTTTAAAAGTAGATAATGAGTACTTCTGTGTCCAGCACAACCCAGGGGTGCCAGTGAAAGGAGGACCCCAGTGACCACAGCATTCCAGGAGGACATGGAATGAAGAGACAGAGAAGTGCAGCCCAGTTGCCTGATCAGCAAAACCAGTGGATGACCACACGAAAGCTCAAAGCACTACATAACCAAACACTTCTGATTAGCAGAAGGCAGAAACAGGAGCTTAAAGACATCAACTTCCTCCAAAGGTCCTTCTATTTTCCAGTACATTTTGGAACATCCAGAATTGTTCTGATATCTCTTGCACCCATCAGCCTTGGAGTGTGTCTGCTTCGGGTGCAACGTGTCAGAATGCTGATAGCAAACTTCAGATTGAGCTCCTTTTGCAATAAGAGAGCAGCAAAAAAAGCACAGACTGAAGAAATAGAACTGATTTGCCTGCCAGGAAACTACTGCACTATAAAACATGACGAGACTGCCACAGTCACAAAGGAAGGGGAAACACTTGAAAGATATTAAAAAGGCTTGAGGATGAATTCAATGCTTGTAAACCTGGGTTTTCATGACTCAGTGCAAAATGGAGCAGCACCAGTGCTGGGGGACAACATTTTCACTGCTGCCGTTCCATGTCCCCTTCTTTTGGTGACATTACTGGAGCTTGTCAATCCTTTCATTGGATTCTTCTGTCCTGACCCCTTGCCTTAGAAGAGGTGTGAATTTATGTAGCCTTTCACATGCAGTTAAACCTGAAATAGAAACAGGAACAGCTTCGGGGAATTGTTTCCTCCCGAAACGTCAGCGAATGCAAAAGTGCTGAGGGTGACGGAGGTTCTGTGTTCCACAGGCTGCTTTCACCTGCACCAAGGGGGACCTCGAGGGGCAGGAACAAAAATACTCATTTTTGGCAAAGAAGATTTATATGCTAGAAACCAAAAGAGCACTTAGTTGATGCATAAAATCTCCACCTGGTGGTGAACCTGCCACAGCAAATTATTTTATTTTTTTAAGAAAAAATCCCGTTGCAACATATAAACAGTTCTTTAGTAGATACTATCCCAAAGCAACAGGTGGGGAAGGGCAGCCTTCAGAAAAACAGCACTATCCTATCTCCCTGTTTTTCCATCATCTTGGAAAGTTGAAGAATCCCCTCAGCTGTACTGCAGCTGGTAGGCACACAAGAGACTTTCCCCAGGCAAAATCAGACTGAAAAGAGCTCATGTCGCACCGTATGCAGGGTCAGGTGGAAGGTGGACTGTGCTGACTGGTTTTCCAGCTGCAGAAAATGCTGCTTCCCAAGGAGAAATGTCCTCTCTGAAGTTCCACCCTGTTTCTTGGCTTACACATTGGTTAATTACAATTATCAGTTACAATTATCCGGTCTCTGTATCTCCAAGGTCCTCCAAATCCTAGCACAGTTACTTTTGCATTGTCATTTTAGGGGTAATTCTCTGGCTGCACACAATTAATTCAGTTCTCCACTCAAGGTTGCCAACCTAGAAACATTTTCTGGATTTACATTTTCCTATGCACCTTATTAAAATGTAATATCTCACTCGCCTAGTGTTTTCAGTACAGTTTTATTATCTAACAGCATCAAGAAAAGCTCTGTGAGATGGAATAAAATCAGTGTAAGATGGACATATAAAATGTACAAAGCCAGACCCTTGATCTACATCATGGTGTGTACCATGCACTGTACCCTGACCCACTGGACATCACCAGAGTGCCATAATCAATCCGTTTGCCTTATGACACCTTGGAATGCAGGAACAAAACATCCCCCTTTCAAACTTGGTAAGACTGAGCAAGACATGGACACAAGCCACAACCCACAGGATCAGGGTACCAAGAGCCATCCTCTGCTTCAAGTGTGTGACCATGGCCAGTGGTTTATGCATGCAAATATATAAATATATCAGTAAATAACATGTACCTTTTCCTACGCCATAAGAATAATGTGATCATAGCCTTTAGTGCAACATTCCCTAAAACAAGCAGGATGTGCCACTGCTGATGCTCACAAATTATTCACTTGACCACAATAAAATTCTTCAGGATCAAAAATAAGATTTCGTTTAAACTGGCCTGAATCCACTTTCTGTCAAGTCATCACTTTGCAATTTAAACACCACCAGCATCGAACCTCACAAGGTATCTTAATTAAAGGAGTAAGGGGGGAGGGGGGTGTTTAATGCTGACCTCGAGGGTGAAAGTGTGAGCCATGGGAGGATGGCAGCCCTCAGCTCCACACTGCAGAGAGTTGCACAATGGCATGACATCCTCTTGGTTTCATAATTTTACACACGCAACAGAGATTAAAAATAGTAGTAGAGCTTACTAATTAGTAACAAATTATTATGACCAAAAGATAGAGCATCCTCAAGTGGTAAAAGCTCTGTGGCACTCGAGGGAAATGAGGAAAAATTTGTTTACAGGATGACTCTGTGGACTTGGGGGGGGGGGGGTGTTTTAAAGGAAAAGTGCTGTGGAAAATCACTGGTTGTTTCAAAAATGCCAAATAACGGGATTTACTCTCATCAGAAGCACAAATATATAGAAATAAAACTAAATGCCTTCAGTATTCATATTCTTTGCAGCAAGAGTGCTCTGCAGTGTGTGTGACCCTGTGCCCGTCTGCTTAATGAGCATATTAAAATTAAATCATTAATAAGCTGAACCCCACATTCCCAAGAGCTTGAGGGTGAATGAGGAAAGGGGGCAAAATCAGTGGCATGTGGTGGTGCCCATTTAGTCTCTGCAGTCACAGTGTTCACAGCACTTTTGCAATCGGAAAAGCGCATTTACTCCAGAGGTTTTAAAGTATCCATTGGAAAAGGGGCAGTTTGGGGGGGTCTGAAAAACGGGGGGGTCTGAAAAAGGGGAGCAGTCTGAGAAAGGGGGTTCTGAAACGTGGGAAGGTGAAAAAAGGGGGGACTGAAACATGGAGGGTCTGAAATCTGGGGAGCTGAAACATAGGGGGCTGAAATATGGGAGGTTGAAGCCTGGGGGGCTGAGACACGTGGGGTTGAAATCTGGGGGCCTGAAATCTGGGGGCAGCTGAAACCCGGGGGTTAAAACATGTGGGGTTGAAACATGGGGGAGGTTGAAACAGGGGGAGGCTGAAATATGGGGGCTGAAACACTGCGAGCTGAAATCTGGGGGGCTGAAATTTGGAGGGCTGAAACATGGGGGGTTGAAAAATGGGGCGCTGAAATATAGGGGCCTGAAATGTGGGGGGCTGAAATCTGGGGGGCTGAAACACGAGGGGGGATGAAACATTGGGGTTGAAAAAGGGGGGGAAGGGGGGGCTGAAACATGGGAAGCCGAAACATGGGGGGCTGAAATATGAGGAGGCCTGAAACATGAGAGTGCTGAGAAAGGGGAGTGTGAACAATGGGGGTATGAACATGGGGGGCTGAAATCCGGGGGGCTGAAATATGGGGGGCTGAGAGAGGGGAGTTTGAACAATGGGAGTATGAACATGGGGGGCTGAAATCCGGCGGGCTGAAACATGGGGGGGGCTGAGAAGGGGAATGTGAACACTGGGGTGCGAACACAGGGGGCTGTGAGCACTGAGTATGAACACAGGGGGCTGTGAGCAGAGTGTGAACACAGGGGGCTGTGAGCCCTGAGTGTGAACTCGGGGGGCTGTGAGCACTGAGTGTGAACACGGGGGGCTGTGAGCAGAGTGTGAACACGGGGGGCTGTGAGCCCTGAGTGTGAACACTGCGATGCGAATTCGGGGCGCTGCGAGCCCTGAGGAGCGGCAGCCGCCGGGCGCCCCCGAGCTGCCCGCACCTCCCTGCCCTGAGGGGGCCGGCGGGCCGCCCCCGCCAGGCGCCTCCTCCCGCCCCTCACGGCGTTCCCTCACGGCGGCCGCGGTGGCGGTGGCGCGGCAGCGGCCGAGGCTCGATCGGGCGCGGTGAAAGCTTTCGTTCCGTGATGGCAGTTTCCGGATGGGCGGGCGGGGGGTGACTCAGAGCCGCGGCTCGGCATAAATACAGCGCGGCGCACCTGGGACCGGCACTGGATCGCGGCGCTGCCGAGCCCCCGCCGAGCCGAGCCGAGCACAGCCCGCTCACAGCCCCGCACACGGCCATGCTGCTGCTGCCCTGCGCCCTCCTGGCCGCGCTGCTGGCCGCCGGCCACGCCGGTGAGTCCCGCCGGCGCCGCCCTGCTCCGCGTTACAGCCGCGCTGTGGATTAATTCACTGCTTTTTCTTTTTATGTTTCTTGCTCTCTTGTGGTCGCTCTAATGTCTGATCTAGGGGTGGCAGGCCCCCGTTGGGCTGTGAGGGGTCATCCCCCTTTGCGGGGGGTTTTATTGCCGTCAGCAAGCAGAGGCGAATTCCTGCGCTGCTAAAAGCTGTTCCCCGGTAGCCCGAAGGCTGCTGCGGGTGGATGCTCCCTCTGATGCCTCCCCGATAAGCGCTGCACTCCAGGGGCGCTCTCCTTCCGTGTGTCAAGCCCGGGAACACCGGTGTGGCCGCGTGAGGTGCTAATGGAGCTCTGGTTCCCTTGCAGCCAACCCTTGCTGCTCCCACCCCTGCCAGAACAGAGGGGTCTGCATGACGACGGGACCCGATCGGTACCAGTGCGACTGCACGAGGACGGGCTTCTACGGGGAAAACTGCACGACACGTGAGTACCTTAAATCTCCCTTCACAGGAGGTTAATTGATAACCCCATTCCGGCACTGCAGGTTGCTCTCAGTAGCTGGTTTGTAATAACCTTTCCATTGTTGCTCGCAGCGGAGTTCTTCACGTGGCTCAGGCTAACTCTGAAACCGTCGCCAAACACTGTCCACTACATCCTCACGCACTTCCAAGGAGTCTGGAATATCATCAACAACATTCCCTTCCTGCGGGATGCTATTATGAGATACGTGCTAACGTGTGAGTATGAATTCTCTCTACCAATCCTCCTAAAACTGGCAGAATTAACTCATGGGGCTCTAGAATATTGCTCTCCATTGGTCTGTATATAAAATAAACAGCCTAAATTGCACTAGGGTTAAAACACAACCCAAACCTTCCGATTTCTGCATGATGCAGACCTGTATGAAGCATGCTAAAGTGCAGTTTGCTCTAATTTCTGCTAGAATCCAGGATTTTGCCAGCATAAACTTTGCTCCAAACTGTTGGTGTTAACAGTTCGATCCAGCTGATAAGCCAGGACCCAGTCCTGTTACTCAGTAACTGTAATCCTGTTTAACATCAGTGCCCGATACTTGTGGAATTTACAACTGCTGCCAAGTATATGGAAAAGATCTGGCTTTGTGATTTACTTTTTGAGACTAAAATGTACAGTTGAAAGTAATCAAATACTTCTTTGTCTCTCAGCAAGATCACACTTGATTGACAGCCCACCAACTTACAATACTGATTATAGTTATAAAAGCTGGGAAGCTTATTCCAATCTCTCCTACTACACAAGATCCCTTCCACCTGTAGGACTTGACTGTCCAACACCAATGGGTGTTAAAGGTAAGGAATAAACCAGATGCATAATGTTCACTTTTAGTATTTTCTAAGAGGATAAGTAGAAATTCCTGTAAGACTTCCTTGTCTGTAACTTTTTTCAGTGTAGGGGACTTTAAGAATAGCCATGTTTTGGATACATTGTGTGAAGACCTAAAAGATAATTCTTCTGGTTCTCATTACTGAGTTGCATGCTAAAAGCAGGGAAGTTAAAAGTTTCTAATCAACAAAGTGAGTGTAGAAAAGCAGATATGCCCTTTATTTCTATGCTGCTGTCCTTCAGTATTACATTGCAAGTCTTAAGCCTTTTTGTTAGGAACAAAATTAAGTATGACATAAAGAGTTGTCTTGAATGTCTCACTCTTTCTTTCTGTCACAGGTAAGAAGGAGCTCCCAGACTCGAAGCTGATTGTGGAGAAGTTTTTGCTAAGGAGAAAGTTTATTCCTGACCCACAAGGCACAAATGTGATGTTCACATTCTTTGCCCAGCACTTCACTCACCAGTTCTTCAAGACAGACCACAAGAAGGGACCTGGCTTCACCAAAGGCCTCGGCCACGGGGTACGTCACAGCTCTGTAGCCAACACAGCTCCTGGTGCTCAGGAGCCACTGAGCAGCTGGAATGGCATCCTGCAGGTTGCCAGGGCACACAAACACCTGTGCACACACACGTGTGCCACAAACCCATGGGATTGTCCCTCCTTAGGCCAGATCCCAGCACTCCATAGCGTCTCTTCCCGGGTCAGAACCGCATCCTTTGTGCAAGTGGTTCTGTTTAAAATACCTGCCCAGTGATCTCCATGACTCTTATTATTCCCAACAGTCTGCTTTCACCTAAAGCTAGTGAGTATCCAAAACTTCCCTGGACTCTGTCACTTCCAAAGAGCTATATCCAGCCCTAAGGCATCTTGTGTACTGCTAATAGGCTTAAGTTTAAAAATAACTTCAGAAGCAGACTTGGATTTAGGATCTTCACCTGAAAAACAGGCAGCCTTTAGGCAAAGTTCTTCACTGTAAGGGTAATTTGTGTATCTACACCAAAGCTGTAAACTGTGTCTGTATATACAGAGAGCTGTCTGCATAATAGAAAGTTGCTGACACTTTAAACAGAGTCCTTTTAAATTGGCAATTTCACAACCCCCTCTTACGCAGAGATGGCTCCAGTTGCCAGGAAATAATTTGGCTTCATCTTAAGTATCAGTGGTTGATACTTATAAGGTAGCAGCAATATAATTAAAAGGTAAACATCTAGGGGGTGAGCTCCTATTGGCATCCATAGAAGTGGGACCTATCCTAAAATAGCAAAAAATGCAGGTTGGCTTCATGTTCCAAATGCTTTTCTTTTTTAGGTTGACTTGAACCACATTTATGGAGAGACTCTGGAGAGGCAACTTAAACTGAGACTCCGAAAGGATGGAAAGCTAAAATACCAGGTATGTCATACCTCAGAATTCTTGCCTTTCTGTTGGATGATGTATTTTCTAAATCAGTGCTCTGTGCATGGTTGATCCGAAGCGCGAGGCTAAAGTCAGTGCTAACAGAGCGCAGCTTAACTCCTGAGCGTCATAGCTCACAACTCTTTGTTTTATTCTTCCTCCCTCCCTGGCAGATGATCGATGGAGAAATGTACCCCCCAACAGTGAAGGACACCCAGGCAGAGATGCTGTACCCCCCCCACGTGCCGGAGCACCTGCGGTTCTCGGTGGGGCAGGAGGTGTTCGGGCTGGTGCCGGGGCTGATGATGTACGCCACGATCTGGCTGCGGGAGCACAACCGCGTCTGCGACGTCCTCAAGCGGGAGCACCCCGAGTGGGACGACGAGCAGCTCTTCCAAACCACGAGGCTCATCTTGATAGGTGGGTGTCACCTCACCTACGTGCAGCTGAACCTCCTCTCCGAGGTGGAGTAAGAGGGAAGCTGTTGCATCAACTGGCGTGTGAGCGGCGCCTTCACGGCCCGTCACCGGGGCTGTGCTGAGGTACAGCTTCCCCCAGCTCTGCTGAAGGCAGAACTGAAGAAAGCTGAGCTAAGGGATACTCGATTCCCTTATCTAAGGGAAGCAGAACTGAAAGCAGTGAAAAGGCAGTAAATGAAGGTTCCTTTCTCAGAGAAAGCGTGTGAGGCTGCATGACCTCAGGCTCTCAGACCTGGGTTTTTCCCCCTAGGGTTGAGTCAGTTCAGGTATGCTTTAAAAGAAAGGCTGTGATTGAGTCTAAAGTTCAGGAGGTTATGTAAAACATAACTCCACATATTTCTCTTATCTAATTGTCTGCTCAGTGGTATTTCATCCTGTGTGAGAGGTGATGTACTCCAAGCTTGAAAAGACCTTGCCCAAACTGAAACTGTAAACCAAGACAGTTGTCTGACGTGGCTCAGAAGCTGAGATTTGCTTTCAGACATCAACTTTCTTCATTATCCCCTCCCTCTATCCTAGAGAGTATTGTGTGACTGAACACACTGCTGTGTGCTGTTCTGGGGAGGGTACAAGGAACTGCATCTTGGGTGGGAGTGGGAAAGCAAGCTATAGAAAGCACTTCACTACCACAGCCAAAAGCTCCTGGGATTTTAAGTACTGCTCCACCCCTTAGTCACATAAAATAGATGAATTGCTTTCTAGGAGAGATTACAGAATGTTGAAGTGTTTGTTGCCCTGATCATTGTAGCATTTTTTAGAACAATTCAGAAAGGGTGTTTTCTCCACCGCCTAAAGTTTCTCGGGGGACCAGTGCCAATATTCTCTCCCGTGTCTTTGTCCCACAGGAGAGACAATCAAGATTGTCATTGAGGACTATGTGCAGCACTTGAGTGGGTACCACTTCAAGCTCAAGTTTGACCCCGAGCTGCTGTTCAACCAGCGGTTCCAGTACCAGAACCGGATCGCAGCCGAGTTCAACACCCTGTACCACTGGCACCCGCTGCTGCCCGACACCTTCCAGATCCATGACCAGGAGTACACTTTCCAGCAGTTCCTCTACAACAACTCCATCATGCTGGAGCACGGCCTTTCCCACATGGTGAAATCTTTCTCCAAGCAAAGTGCTGGCAGGGTAGGTACTTCCTCAAGTTGCCGGTGAACCAAGAGAGGCATAAGCTGGGGGTGGGACAAGGGAGTAGAATAAAGCTATTTCAAACTAACCACAGACTGTAAAGGCACGGCTTCCTCATGACCCTTATCAGAAGATCTTACTGCTTTTCATCTTGATTAACCAGGTTGCTGGTGGGAAGAACGTTCCTGCTGCAGTACAGAAAGTGGCCAAGGCTTCAATTGACCAGAGCAGGCAAATGAGATACCAGTCCTTGAACGAGTACAGGAAACGCTTCATGCTGAAACCATTCAGATCCTTTGAAGAACTTACAGGTAACAGTTCTCATCCTTCAGAGCAAATGAGGGCCACTTCCTTCAAAGGCTCACAGGGTCCTGCAATGTTATTGCTGGACTTGAGCAGGATAGTCTTGTGAGTAAAGCAGGATTTTTCCACTTATGGTTTTTACTCGTTACAGGAGAGAAGGAAATGGCAGCTGAGCTGGAGGAGCTGTATGGAGACATCGATGCCATGGAGCTGTACCCAGGCCTTCTGGTGGAAAAGCCACGCCCAGGTGCCATCTTTGGAGAAACCATGGTGGAGATGGGAGCCCCGTTCTCCCTGAAGGGACTGATGGGCAACGCCATCTGCTCCCCTGAGTACTGGAAGCCCAGCACCTTCGGTGGCAAAGTGGGCTTTGACATCATCAACACTGCCTCCTTGCAGAAGCTCATCTGCAACAATGTCAAGGGCTGTCCTTTCACTGCCTTCCACATCCTAAGTCCTGAACCCACAGAGGCGACCATTAACGTTAGTACCTCAAAAACAGCCATGGAAGATATCAACCCCACACTACTGCTGAAAGAGCGCTCTGCTGAGTTGTAGAAACCCACCTATTTATTTATTTAACTGTGTTATTTATTCTATTTATGGCTTAGTATTTAAAAACTAGGAAAAAAAAAAAAAACACTTGAGCATCTTCATTGTGGGGGTTGCCTTAGATTCCTTACTCAGGTAAGGCTTCCATTTACAAAAAGGGATTTTCTGTGTATGAGCTGGACAGTGGTGAATCCCTTGTTTAAAATCTTCTGTAACAGAACTATGTATTCCAAAGTGGACAAAGGTTCCAACTCTTTTTTTTTTTGTGTTGTTTTAATACTTGATGAAGCGGGGTGGTGGTGGTTTTGTCTGCTTTGTCTGGTGGTTTTCATAGGTCACATAACACTACAAAAGCAAGTTTTTGCCTCAGCAGCTTAAACTTGAAAACAGCTGTTGACCTAAAAGAACAAGAAAAATCTGACTTAATGAAAACTGCCAGAAGAGATTATGAATTCAGTATGAGAACTCAAAGATTAATGAAAAAATACATATACTTGAGACTCACTTATTTATGAAAGGTCAGAAAATGCATTGCATTTGTCATTGATACTACCTCTCCTTCATTGCTGATAAGGCACTTTGTATCATAATTTATATGTTCCTTATGTGTAAATCCACTTCTGGATTCACATGAAAACTTAACTATTTTTAAATACTTTTTTATTATTTAATTTTTTTTAAAGAAAATAGAGCTTTTCTTGGCTTCTACTTCTTTTTGAAGCGTGTGTCACAGAAGTATTAGTTGTGTGAGGGGGTGAGAATGAGGTACTGAGCTTAGCAATAACTGACTCTTAGGCTGCAATACAAGGCTGCTTGTGTTGGAATACAGATGTTTTTATTGTGTAACTTTGGGGAGGTCTTAAACTTAGCCCAAGGTACTGGTATTATTTTCATAGCTGTAGTTCTCTGGTTTACTTGATAATTTGATGTCTGTCCCTCCAAGGACAGAAGGACAGTGTAGCTGTAGTTAGGCTGTGGCTCTGGTTTAGCTTTGTGCTCCCAAAACAGGGGGATTATTGGGGAGCAGTGAAAGCTGTGAGCAGCTGTGCAAACACACAGAAAGCAGAACACAGAGCAGATTTAGCAGCAGATTTAGCAGATATGTCTGTGTACACAAGTTGTACATGCAGTTTGTAGTTCTACTTATTGGGGGGAGGAGGGATAATGTTTTATTTATAATTTATAAACAGAGGCATTTTAAGTAATTGGCTTAAGCTTCATTAAAACTGGCTAGCACAAAAACTCATATTTGTCCTGATCCAGCACTAAAATATCTAGTCTCATCTGGGCACATAAGTTACACAGGATCTTGTACCAGCACTTCAGACTTTGCATGTAAGGGTTATCTTTTTTTAATTTCTAGAGAGGAAATGTAGAAGATGATCTTCCCATAAAAACAGCTGGGGAACTATAGGGAAAAAGAAAATGTCACTTCAGACTGGAATAGAGCAGCAACCTGGCACTCTGTGCCCCTGCCCAAAATTCCTTGACTACTTGTGGAAAAGGACTTGAGTTTTCTGTCTCATCTGAATCTCTCACGCACTTGTAGAGGCTTGTGCACTGTAAGGACTCTGGCAATAGTGTAGTTTGTCTGTGACTTGTGTTTCCATTGATTTGTGTAGAGGCAGTGCTGACCTTTGGCTGTGTAGGTCTCGTGGCCATGAACAGCTGAACCAAGATCTCCTGCAGCCATCGATACCAGGGGCTGACTTGGGCTGGTCTTTGGTATGGATGCTTTGGGAGCAAGAAGGGCATTTGTTTTCCTTTTTCTGTTTGAAGCATGAAGAAGGAAAAACCTCCAATCACCTTGCACCCAAAGGTGGTCGGTGCTGCACTTGCTAAAGAGTGAAAACTGCTCGGACTCTTGTTCACCATGTGCCTGTCAGTGAGCTCCATCTTTGGAACACCCTTCAGAGCACCCTCCTGCTGTTAACTGAGGAAAAGTGCTGGGCTCACAAAGGGAGGCAAGTCTGGACAGATCTAGTTGTTTTGGGGTTAGGCAAAGAGGAAGTCCTCAGAGCGTGTCACTGGAGTTAAGTTACAAGCTGCCTCGGCAAGGAATCCTGTTCACTCTGCATTTTGTGCTCTGCAGCCACATTTCAGCTGTCACTGTCTGTGATGGGGCCCAGCCTGCTGGGTTTGGCTGGGTTCAACTTGCTCATGATAAATGTGTATGTTTGAGATTATTTATTGAAAATTCTGTGAATAGTTTTTCACTTTATTTTTGTAGGACAACAATGTTGCTAAAATGCAATTGTTTATATAAATAAATTGAAAACATTACTTTTGTGGGCTCCTCTGCCTGTGATTTCCTTCAGCGCTGTTTGGTATGAAACAATTCTTTGGTTTGCCACTCAAGATTAAATGGAGGATTACAGGGCATTACTAACAGCATTAAATTCTTTCAAGGCATGCCTATCATCCAAATACAGCAATTTTTTCCCCTTTGGTCACTGGTGAAAAGGGATTTCACTGTGCCATCCCTGGAGAATCCAGCTCCTCTTATCCATAATGGGAGATGCTAAAGGTGCTTTACAGGGAAAGTGCAGTGTTGGGGTTGCACAACACTGCCTTGGTGTATCTGACCTCCCTTCTCACTTCCCTTTCCCCAGCAAGCACAGTCCAGAGCTGTTTCCCTTCGTGCTTGGCATACTCCAGAGGGGGAAACTGCTTTGGGATGCAGGTGACCACTGGGCCAGAGCAGGGCTCTGATCCATCAAAACAGGGACAGGGGAGCAGGAGCTGGTGCAGTGTGACCCTCTCCTACAAAGAGCACCTTTGAGGCCACCCACCCTCCTCCCTGCATTTTCACCTCTGATAAGAAATGTGGGGAAAGTGGGACAGAGACACCCCAGGGGATCCTGCATCTTGTACTGCCTCAGTCACTCACCATCCCCATGACCCAGTGTCACCTCAGGCCCCTTCTGTGCTCAGTCCCCCACTACCACCCCCTTTGCACTGCCTCTGGTGCTGCCCCATCCCAGTATTGGTGCCCTGTCCTCTCACAGCCTCTGTCCTTCAGCCAGAGCCACCTTCCTTCCAGCCACCCAAAATCCTTTTTGGTCCAAAGCTCCTCCCTGTGTCCCCCAGGGCAATATCTCTGACCAGCCTCCATCCCTGAGAATATGACAGTTCTGCCTCTGCTCTGGAGCTCCTTTCCATCTCCACCACTGTGCAGTTCCTTCATATTCCTATTGCACCCAGGCTCCCAAACACCTCCAGCAATATTCCTCAGCTTAAAATTCAGTCCTCCTCGCTTCAGTGACCATCTTCAGCCCCAAAAACGCAACGTCCTGAGGACCCTTCCGAAAGCATCCCTCCAGTCCCTCTGCTGGCTGCAAGCAGAAGCTGTGGGTGAACAGAGACAGGTACAGACCACATATGAGCAATGTGGGGCTTTGTTTCTTTAGCAGCCTGTCAACTCATTCTCTCTGCAAGCTAATTAATTGCTGACACGTCCCTGTTGTGAGGGGAAGCTGAGCAAGGGAGTGAGCAAAGACAAGGCTGGTCACTTCAGCGGGAGGATGATGGGCTCGGCCGCCGAGGTGCTCACAGGGAAAACCCACAGCGAGGAGGCAGCAGCAAGGTCACCTGTGGAGAAGGTGTTTTGGGTGCCCTGATTAGGGAAGGGCCAGTCTGGATGGATTCACCCATGCTGGATGAGATAGTTTGATCACAGAGGAGCTCCTCCTTCCCTCTGAGCAGGGGCATGTCGTGATGATACAAAAGACAAGAATGTTCCCCAGAGGAAAAAACCTGCCCTGCAAAATACTCGCTCTCCAGCCTGGGCTGAGGGAGCTGTTTCACCCGAGGCAATGTGGTGAAGGAGGGAAACCCATCCAGGCACATGAGAGCTCCGTGCCTTGGGAGCAGGTCACCAACAGCATCACCTTCACCCAGGGCTGTCCCACACGTCACTGGCTCGTTCCCACTGCGTAAGAATTCCTTACGGATGCTGAGTCGGAGCCCTGCGGGCACCTGACCAGGTTTGCTTCTCCACACTCACTGAGGTGTGCTGACCTTTAGCTGGAGCACAGTGCTCCCAAGGCAGCTACTTTGCCTGGATTTTGGGAGACATTTCTGTCACAAGCAGCTTCTCCACTGCAAGAAAATACTTCGATTTTCAGCACCAATCCAGAAAAGTCAACAGGTAGTTTGGCCAAGCTGCAGGAAGGGTAGGAAGGAGAGAGGGAATGGATACATCATTTGTTCCCTGCCTATTCACAGCTACTGAAATAAGGGAAAAGCTCTGGAAAAGCTTATTGCAAATGTGTGCTGTTTCCTTCAGAAGACCAGGAAGGAAAATACCTAAACATTATAAGAATATATATATATATATATGAAAGAAAGGAGTAGGCTGTAGTTCTATACACTAAATATGGAAAAGGAGGTGAAGGGAGAAATCCTAATATACTCTAAATATGGAAAAGGAGGTGAAGGGACAGATCCCATCATCATCATGGCTAGGCTTTGCAAAGGAAGATTTGGGACAGATCCCAACCCCGTTTTCTAAAAGGCTAAACCGCACAAAAAGAGCCACACAAGGCAGAAATGCAGCAGTATAACAAAGAAATATCATATGGAAAAAAACTCTCCTTGGGAAGAGCTGAGTGCTCCTCTTCCTTTAATATGGAATTTCAGTTTGGATGTAACATTATACTGATATATAGATATACATGGCTGCTTTCTAATTGTAATTTTTTTCACTCTGATGCTTTTTGGGTTTTTTTTTTAAATTAGTATAAAATCTCCAGTGACTCCTGTGCTCACTTACTCTCTAAGTCCAGACATTTTCATTAGTATTGGCAAGAGATTGATCTCATCCAAAAGAAACCCCAACTACTGCCTTCCTCCCCTGCCATTGAGAAGCGAGGCAAACAAGAAAGTAGATGTCAAGAAAGTGAGAAGGGAAAATGTAGCCCAAGAAATTCACCAGTTTTCCTTTCTGGGATTTTCTTTTCTGAAAATCCCGAGCCCGCAAAGAAAATCTCAGCATTCACTTCCAGACACGCTAAAGCTTCAGAAAGCAGAGTCAGAGGTGGCCTGGGCAAGTTGGGAGCTGAGCACCTTGGGGAGAGGGAGCCTGTTAAAGCTGGTGAGATCTCACCAGTTTGCTACTGGGAGAGGGCAGGGTACAAAGCTTGACTCATGCTGGTTACTTGTCCTCAGCTCTGGGCAAGCCGAGCTGTTTCATCCCGCGGGAGTTCCCCACTGAATAGGAAGCAAAGTGTGGAAACCCCAAATCTGGGCAAAGAAGGAAGAAGAAAAATAATGTTCAAAGCATCTATTTTCAAACCAACCCTCTGCACATCCACTGAGGATCTATGGATCAATGCTCCGTCCCTGGAAGCGTCCAAGGCCAGGTTGGACGGGGCTTGGAGCAACCTGGTGGAAGGTGTCCCTGTCATGACAGGGGGTGGCACTGGATGAGCTTTAAGGTCTCTTCCACCCCAAAGCAGTCTGTGATTCTATGATTCTGTCTAGCCCAAGGCAAGGCATATTTACAGAAAGCTGAAAATACCTTGCGGCTTCCAACCGACTGTAACCCCAATATCTTTTTTTCCTGTTAAATTAGTGGTCCTTATCTGAAAGGCACTGGGAAAACACAAAGTGTCACACAACTGGGAGCATCCTGCTTGCAAGTGTCTCAGATCTTTAATCAACACAATCATTAAGGTTGGAAAATACCTCCAAAATCAGAGTAGTAGTCCAGGCTTCTGTCTTAGGATAAACCCCAAAATACTCACAAGACAACTGGGGAACTTCATTCTTGCTGTGTATTTTATTTTTCCCAGTAACCAGGTGTAGCTCATTACTGCAGGCTTCCACCCTAACCCTAACCCTGTCCCAACCTGCCCTGCTGACAGGGAACTTTAACACCCATTCATTTTCCCCAAAAGCACTGCATTTGTGGTTGACTTTTTCTGTGGGAGCGCATGAAACATTTTAAACACACACACACACACAGAGCCCAAGATGGGCCAAGGAGTGAAAGCAGTGCCCAAGCCCTGTGGAGGTTGGAGAAGGCCTGTTTCCCTCACCTTCCTATCCCTAAACCATGAAGATCTACCCAAAGAAAATACTTTTGTGGGCATTCATCAAAGAAACACTGCAGGTCACACAGGCTTTGGCTAATAAGGATATTCCTGAATGTGTGCTGGTGGGTCTTCAGAGGCAGGAGATGAAACCAAGACCCCGAGAAGCATCACGACTTTGGGGTAAAAACCCAGCTCTGTGAGCCTGCAAAAGTAACTTTTAATATGATTTTAAGCCCCAAAAATCAT